CGGCCCGCAGCGGAGCGACACGCGCGTGAGGGGGCGCGCGGGCCGGGGCCGGGGACTCACGTGCCGCTCTGCACCCTCACGGAGGACACCTTCTCCTGGTAGCCGTGAGCGTGGAAGCTGGGCACGTCGTCGTCGATGATCTCGATCTTCTTGCCGGTGAAGCTGGGGTTTTCGAAGAGAACGATCTTGTGCTCCTGGCTGTCCTGAGGGGAGGGGGCGGCAGCGGGGGGTCAGCGGGGCCGGAGCGCTCAGACAAGAAAGCTGAGCTCCCTGGAGCAGGCCCCGCCAGCCCGGCTCCCGCTCCTGCTCCCACTCCCGGCGGGGTCACCAGCACGGCCTCCCGCTAGGCCCTTTCCCCCAAAGCAAGGGGCTCTGGCTGCTCCTGGGATGCCCCGTGCTCCCACCTGCGCGTGTTCGCGCCCCTGGGGAAGTGCGCGCACGCGGGCGTGAGCCCTCGCCACGCTCACCACTTTGATGGGGCGCAGGGACCCGATGATGTCGCTCCTCCGGCTGTTGGTCCAGGCATCCCAGCGCGGGTACTCGCCCTTCTCGAACACAAACTGCTCCCCCTTGCAGTTGGCCTGCTCGTACCCGACCCAGCTGCAACAGCCGAGCACCCGCATCAGCCGCAGGGCTCGCACCGGGGACCCCCTGGACCGCTAGGCCGGCAGCGCCTTCTCCCTGGGGCTGGGGGCACCTGAAGGGTGGCCGAGTCCCACCGCGGCACCCCCGCCCCAGCCAGATACGTACGGTCCAGAGTGCACCAGGATGGAGCCCACTTTCTCCACTCCGGCGTCCTTCAAACTGGTGCAGGACCCGCTGATTTCATGGCAGCGCCCCTGGAAGTTTTCCTGCTCGAAGATGGCGATCTGGGAGCAGGACGGGGCTGCGTGAGCCCAGAGCCCAGCCTGGCACCCGGGCCCTGCGGGGGACTCCCCCGTCAGCATCACCACCCACCTTGGGGGCCCACAGCACGACTGGGCTCACAGCTGCGTGAGAGCCTCTGTGTGGGGCTGCTCCCACCCGCCCTTGCAGAGGGCACCTAGGGCGCTGCTCGCCTTATCCCGTGCTACGAGTCCTGAGCCACATCCAAACCTGGCCCAGCTCCACCCGCTTCCCCGAGTTCAGGCCAGGAAGCACGTGGCAGTGTGCACAGGCCAGACCCTGCCCGGCAGCCGTGCCGGGCTTGTCCTCGACACCACTGACCACCCCGAGGCTTTAAACCTCGGCCGGCAGGTTGCCCTCCAGCCAGAGGCCCAGGTTGCTCCAGTGGGGCGGCATCAGGTCCCGGAGCTATGCAGGTCCTAGCAACATCAAGAGGGATTAGGGATGGGTGGAGCGGATTAAGGCACCGTCCAGCGAGCCAGGATCTGCCAGCTCAGCATGGGTTTCATGGGTCAGTGAAGCTACAAGGAGAGGATTTGTTGTGTCTGCAGGGAGGAGACAAGATCAGCAGCTCTTTCCAACTGTGCCCGTAGGGGCTTGATGGGGCCTGAACAAGGGCACGGTGCCCCCCGACCCACCGCTCCACCATGGCCGGTTCCGGAGGGACGAGCTGAGCACCGAGACGCTTGTGCCAGCCTCGTCCTTGGTCCCATCTGCCCACACCGAGGTATGTGGGGGACGGGGCTTTACCCCTCCCTTGCTCTGCACTATTAACCAGCACGCCGGCCCACACCGAGTCAGCACCGCAGCAGCGGGTGAAGGAGGGTGCCGCAGGCGCTGCCAGCTGCGGTGTGCATGTCCATCTCAGCCGCGAGCCAGATGGTGCTTCAGGGGCAAGGCCGAGCAAGGTGCGACTAAGAGCAGCCTACTCCCTCCTACTCCCATCTGCAGTGTCGTAGAGGAGAGCCCAGGCTGCCTGCTGGGCCAGCACGGGACACAGGCACCCAGCGCCACCTGCACAGCCCTGGGGGACACACACTGACCTTCGGGGCGGTCTGCTGCTTAGAGAGCGGCAGGTGATGTTCAGAAGCCATGCTGACCCAGATGGGCTGTTCCTTGGGAAGAAAATGTGACAGGTTAACAGTCCAGCTAGGACCCTGCCACCCCCAGGGCCTGTCCCTGTCCCTGCGGAGAAAGCAACAGAGGATCCGGAGGCGACGTGCACGGTGGGTGATGCCAGGGCTGCTCTCTAGCAATACTCACAATTACTCAAACCCAAAGCTCAGACCCAGGGAACAAGTGACTCCCTCCCCAGCGCGATCAGGCCATCGCGGCCACAGCCTGCTGCCACCTCGCTGCCCTCTTCCCTGCGCCCGGGTGGCCCGCCGCCCCCGAGCCACTGGTTGCCGGGGACTGGCACGGCAATGGAAACCGAAGCAAAGGAGGAGACGAGACGTGTCTTACCTGCTGTACCAGTGCCTGCTTGAGCCAGTGCCAGGCTGGGGCCGAGGGGCACAATTTATAGTGCACTGCGGGGCCCGGTGCCAAAGCCGCGCCCTGAGCGAGAATGCGGGATTAGCCCTCAATGGAGACGCGGGTCAGCTGGTCCCCGGCACCATTGTGTCACGAAGCCCCGAGCCGGGCAGTTATTTCATTAGCTGTCACATTTGCAGCGCCCGCTTTGTCGCCTTTGTTGGCAAGGAGCTTTGGAGTTTGCAAGCGTCAGCCAAACGTGCGCCAGGCCAGGCCTGCCGCCCTCAGACAATGCCCTGGACAGCCCGTTTCAGGGCTTTTGGAGCCAGAGGCTTGATCCCTGGAGTAAACCGCCCCCCCCAGAAGCAGCACAGAAAACCTGCCGAGCTCAGCTGCCTCCAGCTGCGTAAGCAACGCACCAGAGCTGTGCGATGACTGGGAAGTTGCCTTTGCTTCCAGCAGTAGTGGGGCTGCACGTGCCAGCCCCGCACCTGCCGTACGTTGAGCCCCCGGGCGCATGCTGAGGCCTGGGGGACCCTGAATTGTACAGGCTGCTGCTCCCCGTGGCAGCAAAAGGCACGGGGACCGCTGGCATACGGGAGTGGCCTGGCGGAACAACGCCCTGGGGCACTAGCAGTGCAGCCGGCTGCATCGCAGAGGGCAGAGGCTGGGCTTCCCAGCCCAGCCACCCCTGCTCACACATGCCAGCGCTGGACATGAAATAGGGAGGCCCTCCAAGCTGCGCCTTGGCCTGGCACCGCTGAGAGCAGCGGCAGGGAGAGGGCGGAGAAGGGCATCACCCCGACCTCAGGCTTCTGTGAGCAGAAGCAGGCACGACTGGTGGGGCGGCGGGCATGGCACATCTGTCATGAGTCCTTCGGGATGTGGCCCCCCCCCTGGAGCTGCCACTTGTAGCGCAGTGCGGTGCAGGCCCTTGGAAAGCCGCCCCAGGAGCCAGCAGGCCGGGAGTCCTGACTGGGAGCGCAGAGCCCACGCAGGCATCTCATTGGCACATCCAGGCCCAGTGCTTTGCGGACTGACCCCAACTCGCCGGCGCTGAAGCAAAGGGCATGCCTGCAGGGCAAAGCTGGCAAAGGCAAAGGCCTTCAGGCTGGTGCACGCAGGCCAGGCATAAGCCCCAGGCCCAGCCGCCCCACACCAGGCGATGCTTATGACGCCAAAGGCAGGGGCGCTTGCACACCTGCTGTTGTGCCGGCCGCTCGGGCCCAGCTCCTGCGCCTCCACGCAGAGTGGCCCTGGGTGCCGGCAGAGACCATTCCCGACCTGACCGCTCCCCTCCCAGCCGGCCACTGCTGCCCAGGCTCCGCGGGGCCTTTCGTAGCAGTGCTCGAGCTTGGGAAGGGAAAAGGCCTCTGCCCACGAGGATGTTCCCGGCCCGGCCCAGCCGTGAAGCCTCAAAGCAACGTTGTATTGTGGGAGGAGGTGGTCCAGCAGCCCCGGGCCCCCGGTGTCCCATGGCTCCACGACTTCTCCTCCCACATCGGCCTACAGCAGGAGGCATGAGCCTTGCGCTCAGGGAGTGGAGATGCCAGCAGAATGTGCCCAGCACTGGCCCCAGGCGGGCATGAGGGCGAGCTCAGAGGCCGGTGCTACCGCTTCACAGGACAGCCGGGCCCGAGGACAAGGCTTGTGGGGCTAAGGGAGGTCGGCATCACAGCAGAGCGAGGCTGCGGGCCCTCGGGAGCTGCCCCAGGCCTGCCCCGCCCAGCACCCTGCCTGGCAGCTGTTGAGGGGCTCCCGGCAGCGCTCCAGCGCCGACCACCCTCCGAGCTGCTACATCTCCAACTGGCCCTGGCCCTTGTGCGTGCAGACATATGTGCTTGCGACCCTTCTCCTCACACCCGCGTGCACTGGCAGACTTGCCCGATCGCTCCGTCCTCTCTCTCGACTGACCGACGCCATGTCTCCCCACCTCGCCTCGTGTGCCTCCCCCGCCGTCCCCATCGTTTTCTGTGCCCTCCCTCTGTCCCGCGACGCTGGCCAACCTGTCCACACCCGTGTGCTGCAGAGATGCAGACAGCGCTGGCCACGCGAGTCCGTGCCTGGTGCCGAGCAGAGACGGAAGAGCAAGGGCCGTGCGGCTCAAGCAAGTGACTGACGGCCGCGGCCTCCTCCATGGCCAGGGCCCTGTGGCCTCCACAGCTGGGCCTAGTGCGCCCGCGGCGGGTGCCAGGCTGCTCTCAGCACCTCGTGCCTTTCATCCCCTCATCTGGGGGAGCAAAGTGCTAAAACACATCCGGGGGGAGCCGCTGCCTGGAAACCTCATTGCAACACTGTCGCTTGAGAGTTGGGAGGACGCTGCCGAGCCATCCCCGGCCCCCAGAACCAGAGAAGACATCAGCAGAGCTGCAGCTCGGGGAGCGCCGGAGCGTGGGGGAAAGCAGGTCTGGGGCTGCTACGTCTCCAGCCGGCCTGGGCGCAGCCTCCATGAGCCAGCCGACGGCCCCAGGGGCACAGGGCTGGTGCTCGTGCAAAGCTGTGTGCACAGTGCTGTAGCCCGGCGCCCAGCCACGGCCCCCGCTGCCCTGTCTGCACCATCACTGCAGCAGCCGAGGTCCCCCAAGCCCTGCCTGCCCATCCTGGTACCTGGCATGAACTTGCCTGGGCTGCGGTGGGACCGGCCAGGCCTCCAGAGAGCTCGGCTCCCTGCCCTGGCCTGTGAACGACAAGGCTCTCAAGCACCTGGGGCCTCTCTCAGCATCTCCCAGCAAAGCCCCTGTGCCACTCTCCTACAGCAGCCCCGACGGTCCTGACACACACGTCCCCCCAGGTGAGCCCCCACGCCGGTCCCCCACGCCCCACTGGCTCTACTGCAAATACAGAGGCCAGTGCGCATGCCCCTGGGCTCCCAGCACCACTGCTAGGCTGCCCTCTTCCAGCCCTTCTCCCTTTCGGGCCCAGCTGTTGCATCATGTGACAGCATTGAGATGCAGACACCAGCGCCAAGCCTCGCCTGCAGATGAGCCCAGAGCCACGGTTGCCTTCTCTGCTCCGTGCCACCCTGTGCCCACAGGCTCCAGTGCCAAGACGGAGCAGGTGCACAGGGCGCGCACACAGATGGCAGCAGGGCTAAGCGGCAGCAGCCAGAGCTGGGCTATGTTTGCAACACTGCAGCCTTTCTGCAATGCCCTGAGGGATGGTACTCGCTTCCCTTCGTCCTGGGTGGCTGGGGCAGGAGCACAAACCCCATAGGCACAGATCAGGGCCTCATTACAGTGCATGAGCTGTAGTTTTGCGACACAGGGGACCCATCACAACCCTGCTCAGAGCTCCTGGCTCTCCAACAGCCCCTCAGTAGCGCCAAGCACGGGCCAGCCCTGGCCGCATCCAGTGCACCTCCAAGCAGGCAGCACCCCCGGGTCCGGGACAAGAGAGAATGGGAGAGTCCCAGCCTTCTCCACCCTGAGACCCCCTCGCCCCAGGGCAGGATCCAGCCCTGCTTGGCAGGCGTGACCTCCCAGGCCGTGCACCCCAGGAACGCCAGTTGCCCCAGGCCACCAAGCTGATCTGGCCCACGCTCCCACCCCTCCACATGCACAGCAGCAAGCCAGGCCACACCGAAGCCGCCTGTAGCCCAGAGCTTTATTGAGGAGGTTTTTTACACAGAAATGAGAGAGCATCGGAAAAATCACTTGAGCTTCTTCTTCTTGGCGTGCTTGGCAGCAGCAGGAAGGGGCGGCGGCAGCGGGTGCAGGTGCTTGGGTCTCCTTCAGCTGTGCTCGAAGGAGCCACGCTGGTGCCACTGCTGGTCGCGCACACGGCGCATGGACTGGATGCGGGGCTGGCTGGCATCCCACTCGTTCCAGTGGCGGTAGTCGCCCTTCTCGAAGACGTACTGGCGGCCCCGGTACCCGGGGAACTCATAGCCCACCCACCTGCGTGGACACGAGATGGGGCTCAGTGCCGCAAGCGGGGTCGTGGGACCCACAGGCCAGCCCTCTCCTTCCCATGGCTCACAAGGGGCTGGGAGTCCTGCTCTCGAGGCAGCACCCGGTCCCCCGCCAGC